CTAGCTTTTGACTGGTGTTCTCCCAAAATCTGGGCTTCATGAGCGGCTAGTTCGTTAGTTGTGTAGGTTTTCGAACCCTGGATGTTCTCTAGACTTTGTAACTATTTATTCTTGATTATATATGAGTATTTGAGTTCTTTGTTTATGCGTTTGCTTTCTCAATATGGTTTATTGTCAATACAATTGCACGCCCAACACGAAGCTACTGCTCATAAGATATATAATTCAAATATGACTTTGTGATGGATGTGACTGCCATGGTCGTCCTTCACAATCGGTCATCAATCGATTGGATTGTGTATGATACTCAAGGGAGGAATTCGTAGGGTCCCTGTAGCCTAATAGATTTGGTAAACGCCATGACACAAGATATGAACAAATCTTGCAAGAATCAAATAACTCATATGTTGCCTGTATCAATCGAAGCAAGTCTAAGAAAACTCTAGGAGGAGATTTGATGACACTCAGATTATTGTGTTTATTATTCCTATATTTGACACATTTTTCTTTCTAATTGATGCATCTTTAATACAAAATACTATGTTCATGTGAAAATCATAATTATTTGATCAATGTACTTATAATAGACCGAGGTCGTGTTTTAGATTTATTTTATGTCTTTTTGTGTTATTTGTTCTTTTCAAAGTTAAACACACGTACTCTAAGATGATTTGGATACAGAAAAGACATATGTAATACATTTGTGAGGGATCGGTTAGCATGCTAACTCTTCTAAGGGGTTGGAAAATGACACCCCTATTAATTATAGTTAATTTTTGTATTAAATTCGTGTTGCATTTAATAATCTTTGGAAATTAAAAAAATCATCTTAATTACATTCCTTTTTTTTAACTACCATTACACCGATACAACTTCCATTGCACTTGTATACTTAACTCATATTAATTACGTTATTATTTTGGAACTACCATTGCACTGATACATCTACCATTGCACCTGTTCACTAATACCACTGCACTGATACAACTACCAGTGCACTGAAAAAGGAAAGTAACTAATATGTGTTTTTAATTCATACAGATTATTAAATGCAACACAAATTAATTACCTTAAGAACCTATAATTAATAGAGGGTGACATTTTTCCAACCCTTTTAGGGGTAGGCATGCTATCTCCATTTGTGATGTGGTTTGCGATAGTGTCATTAAGCTACATTACGTCTCTTATGAATAACAACTCGTAGACTTATTTACGAAGTCATTATCGGCTAGTCGTCATTGATATTTGTCGAGAGCCGCGTTAATTTGGGGAAGATTGTTGATAGATACATATTCGAGCTGCGTTGTATGTATCTTATTTTGTATATGTATAGGAAAAATGGCTCATGTTGCATGATAACGCATACGCTACAAAAAAATATAACAATATCAGTAGCTCGTTGTTATTTGATTCTCAACTTAAACAACCGCAAATGACTAACTTCTCTATTTCCATTCTCTTTATTAACCCGCCATATAAATTCTCATTTCTATCGATATATGCATTTACTGGAACCCGGAGATTTCTATATAGATGCGGTCATCAATTTATCAAACCCTTCTTCTGAAGACAGTTCTTTAAAAAAATGCAAATCCCAGTCTGTGGTGGTTTTCATGCCGTCTGCAGACTGCAGTCCGCGTATATATATATAGGCATATCTCTAAATGCATTATTATTCAATCACTTATGTCACTGTTCAGATCAATGGTCAGGAAATTAACCAATAATGATCAATATCTAGTAATTTGTTGCATAGCTATTAACTATATATGCCGTATCTACACAACTACTAAACTTTCTCGACAAAATTTTATGGCCTTCATATGATAACGAATTAGAATTAATGTGCTCTAGTTTTATATTTTTATTTTAGGCAATTGCTGACTCAAAATTTATTTATTGGTTTTCATTCTATATTACGACTAAACTAGTCTAGGTTTAAAATTGTAATACCGTGTTGGAGAGTCGGATAATATAGTTAGGATTACTACTTAATAAAGAGATTTGAATCTGAGACCTACAGGTTCAAAACAAGTGGTGTTATCACTTGGTCGAACACTTACTGATCAACCTAAAAATATTTTATTATATTCTACTACTCTTGTACATAATTTCTCTTTGTAAATATGTTAGTTTTTTTTTTGTAAGAGAGAATTTATAAATATTTGAGGAAAAACCATTCGCTAAAAAACCTAAGGGGTCGTTTGGATTAGGGAATGTGTAAATGAGGGATTTGGATTAAAATCTCTCAATTAAAAACCCAGGTATTTTAAACGTGGGATTTTATCCAAATAACATGTTTGGGAATAGATGAAGGATTTTAATTAAAAATTAAAGTTACAATTATACCCATCCCTAATCCCTAAGGAAGAATAAGAAAGGAAGAACAAAAGGAGGGGCAGAGTTTGGAAAAGAATGAGAAAAAATGAGTGATTGTGAAATAGCTGATCCCCATCAGCTATTTTGAAAACTCTCATATGAGAGATTTAGAATTTCCTCATGCCCACAATCTCTCACCTTTCCAAACGCAGAATTGTTTTAAAATCCTGCATAACGAGAGATTGTTTTAAAATCACTCATAAATCCCTCATCACATTCACTAATCCAAACGACCCCTAAAAGTGAATGTGCATTGTGCAACCGTTTTTAGAAAAAATATAAATGATGACTATGGAAAGTGCGATATTACAAAAGCAATCATAAGGACTATCAATCCACATTAAAAAAATATGGATGTCCCAAAAATACTCCTAACTATATGCACAAAATTGTTGTAGAACACATTAATTCCACTAACATATTCTCCTTCTCCAAACCAACAAGCTTCTTTCACCGAGACTCAAATCATTTTTCAATGTACATATAATAATCCTATACAACACTACTCTTCTATATGACTTTGCATCGCTGTAAATAGTCGAAATCACATAGAGTATGATATACTCGCACAAATACAAGATCAATCGGATAGCTTTCATTACCGTGTCCCCCCTTTTTCTTCTGAAGAGGCAATGTCCCATTCTTAATCATCATTCAAACATCATCTGCACAAAAATTCAAACATCCCCACCTTTGATTATTGTTGTTAAGCGTAAGGTGATGTATGTGTGAACAGCAACTGTCCCCAATTAATAATTGAACCCATGAATAGAACAAATTTAATACTACGGCCCGGCCTTCAGCTTACTCGTTCCAAGGATTTATATTATTATTATTATTATTGATGATATATATTTATATATTGAGAGCAAGAAACAAAATTATCCTGTCCCAATCACACTTAAAATCATGCATCTAGCTAGCTAGGTTTTTTTTTTAATATGCGTATCAATAAATGATTTAGAACCTCTTGAGGGAAAAAGACCGAGAAAAAACAAAAGGAGGGGCTAAATGCTGTTGTTGATGTGACTTGAATTAGACTATCAGTCGCTACGATTGGAATAGTTGGGTCTCGTTGCTCGGTTAGCGAGTGGGGTCTAGGGAAAATGTCCCGGCCCGTGGTGTATGGGCTCAATGTTATTTGGGTTCGGGTTCTGGGCCTAGTCTGTAACTGCTTCCTTACCAGATTGGATCAGGTTTAGACCCACATGGAGAAGTACTATAAATACTTCTCATACTCCTCTGTAATCTCCTCGATATAGTGAAACTGGCTCTCACTCGCCCGTGGACTAGCTAACACACATCGTGTTAGTGAATCACGTAAACCGTGTGTCGTGTTTTTGATTCTCGCTTTTGTATTCTTACTTTCTCTATTCTGGTGATTTTTCGATGTGTAGCAGCGCGTTTATAACAGCTGTTTTGATATATGTTTTCAGATGATCCCTGACCCTGTATAAATCTCTTATACGACGAGATGTTACAAGTTCGAGGATAATTACCATTTGAAAGTATCAATATTCAATAATACTATGATCATTTATCGAAACTAAGAAATATTATACAGAGGTTTGTTCTTTTGTCTTATTACTTTGTTTCAAGCCAAAAAGATGGACCTTAATTTTAATATATTGGTGGGACTGTCTTGTTAAATCTTATACGGTCCCGCCATGGGCTTCTTTGGAGAAGTGGTTCATTTTTGTATATATATTGTTCATCACGTCCATTGAATCCCTTTTCTTTGTCCGTTTTACACAAAGTGATTCGGTATATTTGAATGAAGTTGAATGATGGAGTATGTACGAATTGTGGTAGTTTGTTGTCTAGCTTTGTGTACAAGAGTACGTAGTCTTATGATGTTTCAGTTAGGTTCGAATTTAGGGGCACGATGAGAAATTTAGGAACTTGTTCAACGGTTTAACTCAATAATTATGATGTGAGGTCTAAGGTCGTTCTAGGTGTTTTATTATGAGGTTGTATATATGTAGTTTGAACTCGATCTTGTGTTTTGGTTAGCATTACATATGTCGTGGGGTTGAGTCTACTTGTAGGAGATATCAATTTGTGCATTGACGATATCTAACTTCTACTTAATTGTTCATGTATACATTATTCTTACGGAATCACTATCATTTTATGTAATTTGAAAATTAACCATGCATGAAGATGGTGACAGAGTAGAAATTCAAATAACGTAGCTACTACGAGAAAAAAAGAAGTAAGAAAATAGATCATATAGAACATAGGGTTCTTTCTTCCTTTTTGGTAATAGGTCATGTAATGAGGAAGCTATGATGAGAGAGGTAATTAATGTGATGAGATTTGAAATAAACCTTGGGAGAAGGGGTGTAGTCATTTTCAATTATTAGTTAGGGATGACAATAATTAATGTTGCAATAGTGGCATGAATAAACTAATAAAGAAAACCAAAGGAGCAGAAAATAATTAATGACAACATTAATTTGCACGTCCCTAATAAACAAATATATATATATATATGAAACCCTACCCTAGGCAAAGGCTCATCTGTCAATATGGCGGCCATTTTCATTATCATAATAAAATAAAATTTTAATTATTTACTAAAATAATATAAAACTAAACCCTTTCTCTTTCTCCACCTTCTCTCTCTCCCCTTCCCTTCATTTTCTTCTTCTTCTTCTTCTTGCCTCGCTCACACTCACCAATCAAATTAACCAACTCCCCCATCTCCTCTCCTCTCTCTCCTAATCTGTATATCTTTCAGCTGGCTCTCTCTATATCATCATCCCACTTTCTGCCCGGGGTTTCCGAGGAACAATCCAAACCGTCTCTTCAACTGATCATCAAGCCGCGGCCTGCTCTGCTCTCTTACGACAAATAAACCATATATCTGCCTGCAGGAAGGAAGTAAGGAAGGACAGACGGCGGCGGCCCGTCAGTACCAGAATAGAGGCCCAAACCAAATGGAACGCAAGTTCAACAGCATCAGCTCACTAATGATGAGCAGCAGCGAGCTGGTAGAAGAAAACGACCACTCCACGGAATTAAGTGGGCCTGACTCCCCTCCTTCCGCTTCCAATATCAAGATGGCCTCCACTTCTTCCACTACCACTTCTACTTCTTCCCCTAAACGCACCAGGTAATTAAATTAATTATCATCCCCCCCCTTCCTTCCTTCCTTTTGTGATCTGTGTAATTAGTGAATAATTGAGTATTAATGATGAACCTGGTTGGTGCAGTGGTAAGCGCGGGGCGCATAAGCGAGTGGTGTCGATCCCAATCAAGGACGTGGAAGGTTCGAAGCTCAAGGGGGAGACCGCTCCCCCGCCGGCCGACTCCTGGGCCTGGCGAAAATACGGCCAGAAGCCCATCAAGGGCTCCCCTTACCCCAGGTAAATTCATTCAAAATTCCCATCAAATTGTATTCAATCCCTACCTAATTAATTATTCCCCAACTCCAAATAATTCAGTCCTAATCCAAATATGTCGCCTTCATTTTTTTTGGGTTTTGGGTTTTCCCACCACCACCGTACCCTCCCTCAATTTGATCAACCCATCCTTTTCTTTATTTCCAATTTTGGCGGGTTCTCTACGACTTGGCATATGTATAGGAATCATCGACCGGCGCCAATTATGGCTGGCTGATTTAATTAAATTTTTGATTTCATTTGCGAGATAATTACGATTGTTCATTACAATTTGCTGATGTTTTTTTTTTTTTTAATTTTTTTTGTTTGGGTTTGGCAGAGGGTACTACAGGTGTAGCAGTTCGAAGGGCTGCCCAGCGAGGAAACAAGTGGAGAGGAGCCGTGTGGACCCCACCATGCTAGTGGTCACCTACTCCTGCGAGCACAACCACCCTTGGCCGCCTCCTTCCAGAACCAATCACCACCACCACCACCACGCCGCTAAATCCGCCTCCGCCGCAGTTGCCACGCCGGAGACTCCACCCGCCAACCCGGAGTCGCCGGAGGAGGAGGCGGCCACGACGAGGTTCACGAGTTTCGGAGACGAGCCGATGCTGTCCGCGGCGGATCACGGCGAGTTCTCGTGGTTTGGGGAGATGGAGACGTCGTCGTCAGCGATTCTGGATAGCCCGATATTCTCGGGGAGGGGAGGACAGCTGGCGGATGACGTGGGCGGGGATTTGTTTCTGCCGATGAGGGAGGAGGACGAGTCGTTGTTCGCCGATCTGGGGGAGTTGCCGGAGTGCACGGCGGTGTTCAGGCACCACCGTGGATTGGGGATGGAGGTCCAGATCTGCTGATCGTAATCACTGACGTGGTGACGGCCACTTTTTTTTTTTTTTAATTTTCAATTTTTATTTTGTTTGATTGGATCGTCGTCATCAATCGCGAGGGGAAGGTGGGGAGGGAGGATTATTAAAAAAATATTCAAAGGTGTGCGTATCGTGCGCCATAAGAAAAGAGAAAAAAAAAGCTTAAAATATAATAATATAAAAATAGTATTTTTCTTTTGAGGGACGGGCGTACAATTATTAATTATCATTTTTTCGTATTTTTGTAATTTCGTATTCTCTTCTTTTTTTTCTTTTTTCGTTTTTATTTGAGCAATTTTCATATTTTGCCTTGATTTCAGTGTAATTGTAGTAGAGAACTGAATAAAAACGACGGAAGAAAAGAAAAGAGCCCACTTATCCGATGTGTCATGATCGTTTTTGTAATTAACCATCCTTCAACTTGGTTGCCGTCTCCATCGGATTATGTATTGCCCTTCACTTTTATACCGGTGTAAATACTTGACTTGTAGACAGCTCAATTATTGGGGATTGTCATGCTAATGTTTTGTGTTTTTCTCTTGTTTTTCGGTTGTGTTAATCGAACTTTCTACATATCAATTTTATGCGTAGTAGTACGAAAAATGTCAATAACATGATTCGCATATTTTGTGGGGTGTGTGGATACCCGCCGGTCTACTTTGGCCTGGTGTGTTTAGTATGTTAATGCTTTCATATCTTGGTGTGTCCAATTTATGAGACGAACTGCAGTAGCGACAGCCTCAGGCCAAAAACGACCAGGAACTCGAGATGCAAGAAGAAGAGCTCGAGTAAGTTCTACACATGACGGTGTTTGCGTTCGACGAGACCATTTTGTCGAGACACACCAGGACAAGACATTTGACTTAAAATACCAAGAGACCGATATACATCATGAAAAGGAAAGGAACTAAATTCACCAACAAGATCAGAATGGATGATTTTAACTGTTTGACCAAATTGAGTCTGGATCATTTGAAGGAATTCACTAGCAACAGCATGAAGATCATACTTCAGTCGCAGGAAATAAATCTAGGTAAATCGTGTGGCATGCATGAAATCAAGGTTCAAGAAGGCGCTAGGCGTAAGGCGAGCGTTGAGGCTTTGTCTAGAGCCTAGCTCGCCTAGGCGTAGACTAAGCGTGCCTAGGCGTTGGAAGAAAAATAACTATTCGCACTACATGATGAATGAAATAGTAATCTATAACACTTCCTCACTTCAGTTAAGATATTTAATAACTTACTTAACACTTAATGACAAAGAGCATAATCATGAATTCATGGAATCATATATAGCTCAATTGCTCATAAAGTTCTTGAGCTATTGATAATATTAATATAGAAAATTGATTTCGTAGTTGACGTTAATTTCCTCCTATAATATTAACTTTCTAGCTCCATCTAGTTATATTTAGGAGAGTATTAGATGTTTCCTTACTCCATTGATGTATTCCAGTATCTAAGTAGGTGTGGAACTCCTAGGCGAGGCGTTTTGTCATTGCCTTGCGCCTAGACGTGCTTAATCATAAGGTTAAGCGTGCCTTTTTGAACCATGGGCATGATCAATGAAAAGAGCAAAATATCGGTACCCATGGCGAGATAGAGTAGGTGCAGGACCCCAAAATCAATATGAATGGCATGAAAAGGCTTTGTAATAGCAATAGTACTGGAGGGCAAAGAAATGCCGGTAGTTTTGGCTTCAACACAACTAGTACATGAATGATGTGTAGAAAAATCAACATTATTTTTCCAAAGTAATGATTGTCAAAACATCTTTACAAGGTGATCCAAATAAGGGTGTGCTAACTTAGGATGCCAAAGATCCCATACACTGTTTGATTGACTCGAAAAACAAGAAGAGGAAAATGGAGATGGACTACTAACAGACCTATTTGAATGACTACCGACGAACGACGACTCTGAAGACTCACGAAGTTCCTCCAGATGAAAGATCCTCAAGTGTTTATCCCCCTTTCTGATCTGCCTTCCCGTCTTGAAATCATGTATAGAACACCCAGACGGTGTAAACAAAACAGAACAACCCTGCTCAGTAAGTTGCCCGACAGAAACTAAGTTGGGAACCAACTTAGGCTCATGTAATGTATTAGGCAAAGATAACCGTGACTCAGCAACTTTACCCACCCGCGAACACCAAATTAATTACCATTAGCTACTCACAAGTAGGGCTGGTAATCCGGTATCCGGTTAACGGTATAACCGGAAACCGAACCGTTAACCGACGGTAACCGGTATACCGTTAACCGGCGTGTAACGGTAGTCGGATGGAGGAATGGAGTGGGCGGTATACCGGATAAGTTTCGGTAAAATACCGACAATTAGTCGGTAAAACCGAATACCGGTACTATTCAATTCAAAGCAAATAATCATACGTCCCCTTCCTCCCATCCCATCACCTGCTGCGCGAGAGAGCCTTCTCCCCTCTCTCTCCAACTTTATCTTCTTCTTCCCCAACTGAAGAAGCCCTCTCTCCTCCACAACTTTATCATCTTCCCCAACTGAGCAACCTGCTGCAGAAAATTGCCAACCTCAAATGGCCACAAAAAAATCCCTAATTCATGCTCTACCTCTCTAAAACGATAAATCCACAACACGCGTTCACGATTCCCAATCACAAATGGCCACAGAAAATCCCACATCCTTGTTCTACCTTTCCAAATCTACAATCACCCGAGTTCCCACCCCGACCTCCGACGACGGGTTCACCTTCGTTCCCGAATCCAGATCCCAACCTCCGACGGCGGGTTCCCCTTTGTTCCCGAGTCCAGACCCCAACCTCCGACGGCGGCTTCGCCTTCGTTCTCGAGTCCCGACCCCAACCTCCGACGGTGGCTTCGCCTTCGTTCTCAAGTCCCGACCCCAACCTCCGACCAGAGATTCAGCAGATCTGGTGATTCACCGCTGCCGCAACACCTCCGGAGACGGCTGAATCAAACAGTGATGACTGCATGCACGAGGAAGATAGAGAGTCGCCTCCCGCCGGAGATGTTGCTCTGCCTCGGAAGTTTCCCCAATCGCCTGCTATTTAAGCTCGGTGCTCTGTAGAGAGTGGGTTAATAGGGGGAAGATGAGGGTCAGTTGGGGGAAGATGAAGAGGGGAAAAGACGAAGTACTTCCGGTATTTGAATAACCGGGAATGATAACCGCTACCGATGTGTTGGTAAGCCGGTTAACCGACAATCACTCGGTACCGGTAGTCGGAATCAAAGTTGGCCTCTCGGTAATACCGATAACCGGTAAATCGGTAACCGGTTATACCGATACCGACCGATTACCAGCCCTACTCACAAGGCCATATTCTTAACTGGAACCACATTCCTTAAGTTATGCACATTAGACGTCATATGGTAAAAACACGCGGAATCGAGAAGCCGATGACTCTTTTTACTTGGACCGTGGAGAGTGGCAAATGCGGTACTAATTGCGGTAGGCAGAGAACGCTGGAGAGCTGCATTTACCAACTGTACAACATCTGCGACAGAGAAGGAGTTGCAGCCAACTTCAGCAGGATGTGCGGCATATGCTGGCCGAGCTCTAGCTGCTCCATTGCTTGTCTCGCCAGGGTATTGCGGAGGTGCTAGGCTATCCTAATTACGAGCGGCAGCAGCTGGACGATCCCACGAGCGGTCAGTAGCGGCTGGATTTAAGGAATTATTGCTCCCACCGGCTGCCCGAGCTTCATTACATTGACGACAATCCAGCACTATATGACCACCTCTTTTACGGTAAACACAATAATTTTGACACCGACAATGCTTCTGGACATGCCCTTTCTCGCGACAAAAATGGCATTCGAGCTCAGTAACAGGTATGCTGCCTGAAATTGAGGCTTGCCAATAGCATAAGCAAATGAATCAGATGCAGAACCAACGGCGAGGACAACCTCACCTTCCCCTGGGCATACGTCGAACCAAGCCTCGGTTCGAAGATGTATTTCTTCTCGAACGAGCTGCACCAAAATTTTTGAAATTTAAGATCATCCTTGTTCAAGAGGGCAAAATGAACTAACTCAAACTCTGGTTGGAGACGCATAAGGAACTGAAGCAATCGCGTCTGTTGGCATTCAGCAAGACCATTATTAGAAATAACAGCTTTCGGACGGAGAGCCACCATTAGGAGGTCTTTCTCAGTCCACAGTTCTTGAGCGAGATTGAAATATTCGGTGACCGTGTGAACCCCCTGCTCTAGCCCAACAAGAGCAGTCTGTATCTCAAACTGATGTGTCGCGTTGACAGTTGAATAGGTGGACGCCAAGTGCCTCCACATGTGATTTGTCGTCGAAAATAAACGGAGACTCAAGCATGGTTATGAGTCGACTGATCCCAAAAGCCATGAACAGACTCTTGCATCGTCTTGGGTCCACGATGCAATTTCTTGTGCTGGTGCGGTGCCTGAGGTTTCAGCGCAGCCCCATCAAGTATCCCAAGAAAACCTTTTTCCTTCAACAAAATCTCTAAACTGGGATTCCTAAAGAGCATAGTTGGTGGAGAAACGAACAGTAGGTCTCTCCGAGTCCATCGCGTCGGGCTCTTATACCATGTTAACAAATCTGATTTGAAATCAAACAAGGACACGGACGGTTTACGTGGTATCCCTGATGAACTAATCCACGGGAGAGATTAAAACGCTCTCTATGCTACTTATATTATTATGACTGATGGTTTAACCAAACCAACGTACACCAACTCAACATATAGGTCTCGGCAAAGGAAGAGGTGAGACAGCCGAACCCTAACACAAAAAAACGTATGTCTTGCATGGGCCGAATAAAAGAAAATGGGCTTATGGGCTATGTACAACGAGACACAATACAACATCATTTAACATATTTAAGTAATTTTCTCAATGATCAAAGAATAGTTCACATGAGAGGTAGAATTATCGAGCTCGATTTTATATGTATTTGGCTTTCAATCTTAGGGTTTGTGACTCGGTAAAACACAACTACTAAAAATGGCCAAGTTTAACCAATGAAAGAGAATGGGTTAATTGCATGGTTGGTCACTGAGATTACAAAAAACGTTCATGTTTGGTCACTGAAAATATTTAAATTCAATCTTGGTCACTCAAATTAGTTAAATGGTTCAAGTTTGGTCAATCTCCATCCATTTCCGTTAACTCTAGCCTATGTGGCAGTCAACTTTTATAGTTGACCGTTAAATACGTGACGTGGCAGTTAACAAATTATTGTAAAATAAAAAAATTATTTATATTTTCCACCTCATTATTACATTCTTTAAAAAAAAAACTAATTTCTTTTCTACACACCCCCTACCCTACCCGACCCAACTTCACCACCACCATAACCCAACCCTGGCCCGGCAGCGACGTTCCCTCATTTCGCCGCAACTTGCGATACTCCTCTCTGGAGTCCGGCTACCATTTCAACCGCCGCCACATCTGGATGCTTCTAATCCTCCTCCGCACTACCTATGGCGATATACAATGCAAGTGGCAAACATCCAACAACATCGACTGATGTTGAAGAAATTGACCACTCCGAAGGCAACCTTTGTTGGAATAGAAGAAATTTCTTCTCTTCCCCAAAATATCTCCACCGTCGCTACCACATAATCGCGCTCCTCTGTCGCCAGAAAAAGCCTAATTTTGAACCGTAACTCCAGCCACCATCCCACAGAAGCTTCAAGGTTCCTTGTTCTTCTCATCGCTCCTATCATAGCATTGATGAATGACATGTAATTGGTTTTTTGTTGGAGATTCCATGGTTTCTGATCTGCTGGTCTCCGGCGTGAAATAGAAGCAGGGAAAGTTGTGGTTGAATCGCCTCTCTCCAAATCGATAACCAGGAGAGGAAATCTACCACGTTATTGAGGGTCTAAGGGAGGAGGATGCAGACAAGAGGACGACAGTCAGCCAAATCCAAGAGCGAGGGAGAGAGATCAAGAGAATCAATGACGACGAGTTGCACAGTCGAAGGTGCAGATAGGAGGACGACAACGGAATGAACCCGAAAGGCAGCGGTGGCTTCGGACAGACGTGGCATCGGTTGATCTTTTATAAAAGACAAACGATGATTTCTATTCATTTTCTGTTTTTCAAGCTGAAATCCACTTTACTGAGCTCAGATACGGAGAAGGCATTAACTTTTGCGGCGGCAGCAGCAGGCAGAGGAGACAAAAAAAAAAGTGTGATTACAATTTACAGAGTAATGTGGAACACGAATGGCAAACTTGTAATAGATGGAAAAGTAGTATGGGTATTTCTGGGTGTTTGGACAGATGTCAACACCTGGTGTCTTTTCAGTCAAAAAACCTGGCTTTTACATATAGAAGAATTATTAGATTTTTTTAATGAATGTAATAATGAGGTGGAAAATATAAAAATTTATTTTTTTAATAATTTTTTAATTGCCACATCACGTATTTAATGCTCAACTATGAAAGTTGACTGCCACGTAAGCTAGAGTTAACAGAAATGGACGGAGAGTGACCAAACTTGAACCATTTAACTAATTTGAGTGACCAAGATTGGATTTAAATATTTTCAGTGACCAAACATGACCATTTTTTGTAATCTCAGTGACCAACCATGCAATTAACCCGAAAGAGAATGTAGTATAGTGGCACAAGTAATAAATATCTAATCCACGGGTCTCTATAGTTACTATTACTCAGCTTCAGTTCATTATCTAGCAAACCATATTAAGAATTGATTAAATAAACTACTCTACTAACTAAACTAAGTAAAACTACTAATTATAGGTTGGGAACTCACTTAGGTATGATTCCCCCAGCCACTAGCCAGATTAATGATTGACAATCTCTAACTTGTTTCACTTTCATTCACAATGCGGAGAATCCTTTACTAGATCTTGAATCTCGACTAAAGAAGTTAAGGCCCTCTTGAATCGATTGCCTAGAGGGACGTATCCTTCTCTAGAACAACTGATCAAGGCGTTCTGAACTAGATTCCCTCTATTGAATGAGTTTCTCAATCAATACAAAGCATTGAATCGACTCTCGACTAAAGCAATCGGTCCAGTATTATCAATATATGGTGCTCTATTGACCTAATAAGATATTCTCTCTCATAGGATCAAAGCAGAATCAGTGATCTCGACTAAAGCAGAATTGAATCATGAAAACATGCATAGATTGAATATGAACTCAAGATTATCAAGTAAGAGTACTAATAAACTCATCCAATCAAACAAACATGGCAAAGGTTCCTCAAAACCTATGTGAAGAGAAGTTACTCCATAGAGAAGAGAGAGAATGCATAAATCTGATCTAGATCTTCAATCTTTATCTCCAAGCTTGTTTCCTAAGCTCTAGTGGCACAAAAATCCTCCAAAATAGCTCCAAGAATGATCCCAAGATGCTCTCTCTCCAGGGTTCGTCCCTCAGATGTTTGGGATCCTAAACCCAGCTCCCCCCCCCCCTTCAGAATCCGCAAAAACGCATTTATACAGCTCACAAAAGCCAAGTTACGGCCCAAGTTACGGCCGTAACTTTTGGGGTTCAGGCCGTAACTTATGGAATGTATTCTTCCTCCCGTGGCACCGAGTTATGGTCAAAATGGCAAAGTTACGGTCTAAACCGTAACTTTAAAGGACAACCCGTAACTTTGGAGAGGCTGCTATCTTTCGATCATTTCTCCCTCATCCGAACTTCAAATCAGTGGTCATTTGATCCCAGACGCTCGTAGTGTTGTCCTCTTTCTTTTCATGTCTAGATTACATGATTCTTTGTCTATTAAATGAGCTATAAAAATCCATTCTTCTTTGGGTCATGCCCAAGTTTCTTCCCTCAAGTCGCCAATTGATCTCCTATTAACTTGAAACTTGCGCCTATGCTTCACTTTACGTGCTAGGACCTGAAAAGTGACAAAGGAACACAACCTAGCTTAAAATAGGCCCAAGTATGATAAACACCAAGCTAAACAATCAAAAAATGAGGGGTAAACATGTACAAATTCAGTGTTATCAGTTTGATTGCAAAGATCAAGCCTTATTTAAAAGGTTGTCGAGCTACTTCTCCAACAAGTCATCAGGTTGTCACTATTTTTTTAAGATGGTGATAATTTATTAAAGAAAAAAAACCGAGAAAAAGTCCAGGACATCACAAGCTATGAAACCCTAAACAACACAATGCAAAAGAGACGCAACTAGAAAAAAGGGTTGCC